TTTGGTAATTTGGTCATCCAAATAAGAGGTAGCATGCGAATATATAGCCAGGCTAGGTGAAGACGCCTCAGAGGACATCGTGGCCGGAAGAGCCAAGGCAATGGAAGGTGGTCCTAAGGGTGGAGAATGTGAGGAGAAAGAGGGGTAGAGTGTGTGTTACTCTTGGAGATCGGGTGTTCTAGCATTCACGTAGGCAAAACAACGATCGAAAAAACACAAAAAAAAAAACGAGGCGTGTGATGGCAACAACAATGAAAAAAAATAATAAGAGCAAGAATAACGAGGGTAAGCAAGCTTAAGTTATAATGGCGTACCTATGAAGCTTTCTGACATGATGCAAGAAAGGATATGAGGTCGGCGTGCGTGTGACTTTCGGTTGAAGAGGGCAACAAGCTTATCGAGACGGGAACTTTTTGGATTCCGAGAAGGGATTGAGGGCTTCTTGATAGAGAGAGAAAATTATAGAGTGGAGAAGAGCGAAAAAAAGAAGAGTGAAAGTGATGGATGATGGACAAAGGAGATGAGTATTTATAAATGGAGAGGGACGAGTCTTGACTGATCTCCACCATTCATTTGAATTTTGATCTACGGTGGAGAAAGGGGCTTGTATGAGAAGCCATGTTTTGTGTTCCCAAGGGAATAAGTAGGTGAAAAGATAAAAAGCAAATATGTGCTTGGGTAGATGGGCACATAAGCTTAGGTGAAGAGGTAAAATGTGCAACATATGGTAAATGAGCACATGAGCTCAGCACCTCGCGGCTTGCACGACGTATGTCTCGGATCAACACCTTAGTATTCGTGCATCGGCTCGGCGCTCTGCGTGTCTGGAAAGCATGGTCGGCTCGGCGTCTCGGCTTTCGCACATTGGGGGGCCGCTTCGCGCAATGGAGGAGCGATAGCTCGACAATGCAGCTTGTCAGGCGTTAGGCAGCTCGACATGGCGTGCGTCTGCTCTGGTGTGCCCGACAGCTCGACAATGCAATTCGCCAGGCGTTAGGCAGCTCGGCAGGGTACGCTCGGCATGGCATGCGTCGGCTCTGGCGTGTGCGGAAGCTCGGAAATGCAACTCGCTTGGAGTTAGGCAACTAGGTGTGTTAGCTCGGCAGGGCGCGCTCAACATGGCGTGTGTCGGCTTTGGCGTGCGCGGCAGCTCGACAATGCAGCTCGCTAGGCGTTAGGCAGCTCGACAATGCAGCTCGCTAGGCGTTAGGCAACACGCGTAGATCGGTGTCCCGCGGCTCGCATGACGTGCATCACAGCTCGGCGCTTCGGTGGCCAGCTCGGAATGTTGCGCATCAGGAACGCAGCTCGGCATCCCGACAAGTTGTGCATCGGCAGTCGGCGTCACTGCGTGCGACACGGGCAACCCGACAGCTTGGCACGACTAGCTCGAAACTTCGGCGGGCCACGGATTAGCAACAGCTCGGCATCGGCCGCGCGTCACCTAATGCGCCGTGGATGAGCAGAAGCTCGGCGGAATGGGCCACGTGTTGATACAATTTATGACCTTCCTGGGGGTAGTGTGGTTACACATCCCAACATGATTTATTTTCCATTTCTTGAGAAACGTTGCGATGGCTTGTCCAAGGAATTTGGGGGGGGGGAGGGGGAGGGGGCTAGATGATACAACCGTAATAGTGGGTTCGCCAAAGACCGGTCGTGATCTGAGTTTAATCACAGTTATATTGGGAAGAAGCTAGGCGGGGGGCTTTCATGTGCGAGTACGAGTTTAAGATGAGTAGAAGCTAGGAGGGACTAGCTTGGTGTAAGCACTCCGTCAGAATAACAAAGATTGATAATCTAGGCGGATGTGATCACATAGGCAGCCTGACGCTTAGCACTACAAGAAAATGATGAAATTCCAATGAATATTTATTATAATAGAATGATTCCAACGACAATTCCAACGGATATTTCAATACTATTACTTCCGTTGGATTTTTTCAATGGATTCCAATGGAAAGTCCAACAGAAATATTCTGTTGGAATGAGTTTTCCATTGGAATTTTCGTTGGATTTTGACGATTCCAACGGTGGATTTTCCAACGGGGGTGGAAATAAAATTTCCAACGGAAATTGTATATTCCAACGGAAATTCCTACGGTAAAAATCCGTTGGAAATATAGCCGTTGGAATCACCAAATTCCATCTAAAATTCCAATGAGAAACACATTCCAACGGAATATTCTGTTGGAATTTCTGTTGGAACCATTCCAACGGAAGCTATACCATTGAAATATCCGTTGGAATTTCTATTGGAATATATTACCATAGGATTTTCCGTTGGAATATAACAATTTTTTTTTGTAGTGTAGGCACCTAGGAACCTCGACCAGAGGTTTATGGCGAAGGACTAGGGCTTGGAGGTGACTTCGTGATCAAGTCATGAGAATATTTGTAGTAATAAGGACTCCGAAGATCTAAGATATTTGACCTCATTTGGGGTACACATCAGAAAGACTTTTGGTTCGGCAAGAACTCTTCAGCCCACGCACAACCTAAGCTATAAAATGACACATGTTCATTATTTTTACACAACACACATACACGCGTGAATTTACTCTCTCAATTTATTTTGGTTGAACGTTGGACTGATTTGAGCGTCAGAGTGTTTTATGTCGTGACCCCTTTCGGCGTTTTGCAGGTAGTGGGGGACATCAAGGTGGTTCAAACCAGCTAGACGCGGTTCAAACCGGTCGAGGTACGATTTGCGCAACAATAAGAAATAGCGAAAAGGATTTGGTGAAGCTTTTTTTTTTCCATTATTATCTAAGGAAATTTTTACTTAACCTACGTGAAATTGAAAATTTTACAAATCTACCTACCATTCTTAAATAAGTAATTGTGTTCCTACCTAATTGTCATGATTTAATTACCTAAATACCTAAAAATTGGTTACCTAAAAAGTGGGCTCATGATTTCCAACATTTCCAAACAAAATTCAGTTACCTAAAATTCAGTTACATTTAACTAAATCCTTTAATTCATTTACGTATTTAATAGAGAGAGATAAAAACATGTAATGTAATTCACGCAGCTAGATAGGTATATGTTGCATTTATGTTAGTATATATTCAGTATATGTTACAATGAAAAACATGTATTCAATAAAAATTTATGTCTTTTTTTTTTTTTTTTTTTACATAAAAGTATATATATAGTTTATAAACATATTATAACATGTTACTTATATTCCCTATAAAAAAAATCTAATATATACACACAACATATATTAAACCGTTTACAAAAAAATCTTCTAATATACTGACCATATACCCACTATACACACCACATATACTGCCTTACAAAAAAATCTTCTATTATGCTAAACATATACTCCCTATACACACCACATATACTGTTTGTCTATACACGCAACATATACTACCGTGTATATATACGGTACATATACTGTAAATATACTATACATACACTAAAAAATGGCTCAAGGATTACTGGATTAGGTTCTCAGCCAATTCCTTCACCAAGCCCAATCGACAAATCTAGAGTTTTAAAACTGAACCCATTGATACGCCTTGTCCCGGTTTCCCGGAACCCATTGATACGCCTTGTCCCGGTTTCCCCGAACTCAAACGACTCGTCTTCAGTTTCAACCCCATACCCCATACCTTTCAGATAGCTCGGCCATGGAGTTCTTCTCGGCTTGCTGAATGGTCTCCTCTTGCCACGAATCTATTCCTCATCTGTTCACGGTTATGGCATGTTCGATCCTCCTAGGCTGCTGCAGATCGGACGTGAACTTGACCTCTTATGTGGAGTACCGCCGACACCGGTCGGAGATTTTTACCGACAATATCCGGTAGTTTTGTTTTTGCCATTGAAGGTTTTGTGCTATGGTTTACTGAGATTGAAAACGAAGTGAAAGTAATTGGGAGTTGATTGGGGTGTGGGGGTTACTCCCTTGATATTAGGGATACGTTATCCCAATTGAATCACAAACAGTTTCCATATTCAAACTACAAAATTAACTAACTAATAATTTGGTAAACATGCAAATAATTAGGATGAATTTGGTAGATATGCAAATAAATATATATTAATTATATGTATGCAATATCAAGTATATTCGGTGGCAATACAAACACTTGAATGAATGAATCCAAAAAGGTGAAACGGGTTTTTTTTCAGAAAAGGAAATAAGAAAGAAACGTAGGGCTCATTAGCAAATCCTGAAAATCCGCGCCTAAAAGTTCTGGACTGCAACTTATCATTTTCTTTTGTTTTTCTCAGAAATAAAATCCAAATGGCTATTGATAAACCGAGTCCCACTCCGTGTATGGACATGCCACTTTGTGGGGGCACAACTTTCATCTTTTGATGGAGTTTTTCAGAATCTCAAGGGAGTGTCTGCATCATTTTTAAGATAGTACATAATACTACAATTAAGAAGATAGAAACCAGAGGATCGGGATGTATAAACATGTTTACACATGTTCATTTTAAACTGCCTTGGCACACCTTGGTCGGTGTGCCAAGGCGCACGATTAGAAGAGGCCCTTACTTGCATAACAATAATAGAAAAGTACCAAAAAGAGAATTTTTATGTAGAACCAAAAGCCTATGCAAATCCTGATATGCAAACAAAAGATCTCTACTTTAACAAAAACCTTTCACTTTTTCATCTCCAATGTCTCTTTCCACAACACAACTAAATTTAAAATATTACCTCATTAGTATCTGCGATCCCAAGAGCAAGTAGTGTTGGAGTCCATTAAAACTACACAAGCAAAGCGCTAAATCACCTGTATAACAACACAGAAACAGAGAGATGAAAAATAAAGTGTGTTTAAAGGTCAGGAGAGTTACAGATTCTGAACTTCAAAACAAATGTAGACAAGAAGGCATAATATCTACAAACTCCAAATACATAAACAACAAACACCATCTACGATACAACCCACTAACAACAAACAACCAAATTTTCACATCCATAAACATAAAAACACAAGAAAAAAAAAAAAATGGTGAAAAAACAATTTTCAGAAATACAACTGCCGGCACTGGCCAGCCTCGACCTCAGTAGGACAGTAAGGGCACTTGAACGGCCTCGTGCTGTTGTTCTTCGACAGCTTCGTGATGGACTGCTTGCACAGCACGTGCCCGCATGACAAAAGCATGGGAGGATTATCCTCACTCGCCTGATCCCTACTCACGGGACAAACAAACACTGAATGGAACTGAAACTCCCGACCCAAGTCCACAGGCACCGGCAGCTGCTTCATCGTCTGCCACTCTTGCTTTTTCCCAGTCATCACGTTCATCAGCTTCAGGAGGGTCGGCAGGCCCTGGACTCCAGCCGCTACTGTCACCCCAAGCGGGCTCTCGTACGATTGCCCAATCAAATTACAAAACTCTCGGGCCAACTCGTCCTTCACCCTGTCCCACTGCACGGAGGATAATAACTCCGGGTAGGGAGACTGCTCGAGCCGCCCGGCCCACAGGAGGCAAGCCATAAGCTTTTGGATTTCTGACATGTGGCTGGTGGCAAACGGGGCCAGGAAGGCCCGTGCATACTTAAGGGCCTCGTCCCGGCCTCTTTTCTGCAGGGTCTCAACAAACTCGAGCCGGTGGAGCTTCAGTTCTATGTCCGACCCGTTTTTCTTCAGGTGCTCTTGGTGGGCCGAAGCCCAGGTAAGAGCTGGGCGGAGGTTTCTGGATTTCATGGCTTCTAATATTCCAAACATTTCCAGAAAGGGGGATTTGTGTGCCAAGTCCTCTGGCACGCGGGATTCCTTAACGAAACAGTCACCGAGGTCGAATTTACCTTCCCGGTAAAAGTGGCTCGCGATTATCTGATTCACGATATGGGTGTCGAAATCAATATTACGGTACGCTTTCGATATGTCGGGAATAAATGACTTCTCGAGGAGTTTCGGGTACTTGTTGAGGGCAATGTTGAGCTCCTTTTGGGTGCCTTCGAGCTGCTTTAGAGGGGCCATGTCTATCAGTTTTGATTTTAGGTCGCCGAGGATGGGTTTGTGATCATTCCCTGATTGTATTCTTGATAGGGCCCGTTCGATTTCTGCCTCAACCTGCTCGATCATTTCCTGGGATTTGGAGTACGAGAGCTTCTGTTTCTTGTTGACGCGGTCGAAGGCATCTTTGATAGAATTCAGCTCCATTTTCTAAATGTTCGACTTTACGAGATTGACTGCCAATAACAAGTAAGAGTTATAGGATCAACTCGCATCACGTGAAGAACTTGGATATCTAAGTCATTCGCTGGCATATCTTAACACACGAAAAAAACAATACGTATAGATGCATGAGCACCAAATAGGGTAGAAAACAAAGCCGCGAAATGGGAAAAATTAAATGTAGTGCAACCAAGCACCAGACCTTAACACAAAATATTAGGGCCCATCTGATTCAATAAGCAAGGAACCTTACTTTCGTAACAGTAGACTTAGCTTCTTCAGAAGTAGCACAAGATAATTCATATCATAGTTAGATTAGAGTGAAAAGTTTAACAATGACGAATATTTCTTTCTTGTGCCACTTCAATTAAAGGAAAAGTTGGAGGTCATTATGGTCCAATCTGACTTCCAGAGCAGAACACATCATTTGCGCAACATAATCTAAACTACTGTAGCTAAAGAGAAGTAACAGGCTTTCGCAATCGTGAATAAAACAATGAGACAAGTTTTCTGACATTCTAAACAAGAACTAATTCATGTAAAATGGCCATAATTTCACAGAGTAAATCGAACAAACTGTAATGGCCTATCAGAACGAACATTCTCATAGCTCCAGTTGTAAGACAAACATGTTACTCCATCAACATTTTAAATAATTTGCCTTCCAAAGGGTGCTAGAACTACAATATTCTGATTACAACTTTCAGCATCTCTATAATATGTTTATATTTTGTTGGCTCTGAGGAATCCTTGGAATTTTTTCGAACTAATGGATAGTTTGATAGAAAATGAGTTCTTTTGTCTCAATATCTCATGAATATTCACTCCTTAAAGAAAGATCTTAAGTATTTTTTTTCTTTTCTTTGAAACACTTGTTTGAACTTTGACGAACTGAGATATCAGGAAAAACAATATTTTGGAATAATTTTTCAGTTGAATATGAAGTCGAGTCAGATCAATCTAAACAATCATTGTATTAATCCTTATCATACAATGGCAACTTCCATTAAAAACTTAAAAACACCTTACATTACATATGAAGATAAACAAACCAAACCATGACTTGAAAAGTGCAAGGCAAACACTTATGTAAGTATCCATATATCTATGAATTGTTATGCTTCTCCACAAACCACAGGAACATACGATGAAACGCCATGAAAAGTGAATCTTGATTGCAATGAATTCCATAAAGTATCACTGTCGAACAAATCATAAATAAACAACTAATTCCAACCATATATACCTATTTAAAAATGCTACTGGCACAAAACAGTTTGTTGATACTTTGACACCCAAAACATCCAATTGCCATACAAATATCAGAAATCAATTTAAAGAATCCATTACACTGTAATTCTCATTATGCTTTCACTTATTTTTTTTATCATCACTTAAATGTGAAAACCCCACTGGAAAAAACAAGCTTTAGAAATATAGGTTAGGACATAGACTGTTACAAAGCCTAGTACAAATAGCGGTCAGCAGGTCAGTCACATCCCAAAAAGAACAACTAATTCCATATCCATATGTTTGCTCTTTTATTTATGAGCGTCGCAGGTGATATGCCCACTAACTTCAGTGATACAGGCTCCACAAGTGCAAGCACTCAGTTTCATCAATTCTTAGTAAAAGCCACACACGAACTTTTAATGAAACAGGTTTATATGGTTAAAGGGCAGCCGGCAGAGAACCAGTCGATCTAATTCTACAAATTAGTATAACACATCATTTTCAACGCCGAGATTTCTGTTCAGCTCAAAGAAAACACTAGACTTTTGACTTACACAAACTTAGAGCAGGTCAAGAGATCATATTGACTATGAACATCAGAAATTAGATAAATAACCACATTAACTATGCTTCTTTATGTCCCCTCACTTCTTCCCCATAACCTAAATTTTCCTAATTACACTAGAAAAGTTACATAGCTCATTAGAAAAGGCAAGCCAATTTATTTTCCTACACCATAATCCGATAGAACACATCATAAAACTAATAACCCACTTCATTTTCACAAAACCACAAATCCTAAACCAGTGGAATAGTAAGCAATTGTACACAACACAGGCCGAAAATCAACAAGCTTTCAAGATTTCTCCATGTTAACGTTAAATTAAGAATAACTCAACAAACAATAGCCTTATCTAACAACGATCATTTCAATGGTACTGCCATATCAAAGAAAAAAAAGGCACGAAAATAGAATACAAGAAAACTTTCAAACAAAAACCACAGAACAGATGATTCAAGGCAATAAAAGAAGCCGATGCAAACGACAAGCGTATTCAGATCGGAAGAAACAGAAACACAATAACAACAAACTGGTGAAGTAAATTTAAAGGATTTCAAAATCGCACGCCCAAATTGGCACAAAAAAATAAAAATTTAATTGGAGCTAATTGGAAAAACGCAGAGTAGGAGAAAGGAGTGTACTACTCACCGGAAAAAGGAGCGGCGGCGGAGGAGTGTGGAGAAAGGGAATGAAGGAAAAATGGTGGTGGAGAGGATGATTGATTGGGGCTCTTCTGCGCAAATTTTTGTACAGAAGTAAACGGTGTGAAGAGTCCAGATGTCGATTTTTCATTATTTGATTTATTTATAGAAAGATGCTACCGTCTCGTTACGAAACCATTCTATCAGAGTTTGTAACCGTTAAATCATAATGTAACATCCAGCGTTAGATCACAAACCCCGACGAAATGGTGCCGCATTTCCCTTGTTTATAAATGTACTAGTACAACGTCCGTATATTACACGGGTGCTTGCTAATTTTTTCTTAAAATTTAAAATTAATAAGAAAAAGTAGTTGAAAATTTAAATATCTTTTATAAAAATATATATATTATTATATATTTAGTATGACACTTTTTATTTGTGCAACTTACATGTGTTATATTATAATAATTTTTAATCTTACAACATATAACTACATTAAACATAAATATATCAATTGAGAAATAATTTTATTTTTCTAATGAATTTTAATAAATATTTTTTTATTATTATAAAGATAAATATAATTTATTTTTTTCATATATACAATATGGATGTCAAATCGAAGATCATCAAAAGATGATTAATTTGATATATTATATATGTAAAACCGATAAAAAATACAAAAGTTATCAACTTTTAAAATACATTTATAATTCAATAGCTAATTGAAGGAAACAAATCAAAAGTCAGTGATATATTAGTCCCACCTTTTCTAATAGTTAAAGAAGGTAAGGAAGTCATACAAGATCTTTATAATACACTTAGTGCCTCAGTATGTAAAATTACAAACAAATAAAGGGTTATATTAGTCGGTTCCCCTGTGGATCCGGAAACCGGAAGGTCCCTGTACCAAAAAAAAGGGTTATATTAGTATAAGTGATATTAAAATACCTAAGTTAGCTAAATAATATTTATGGAATGTCCAAATTCAAATCATTAATTATTAATATATCAATATTATTTGTCCAAACCTAATTACGAAGCATGATTCTTTGTCAAGTAGGATTACGAAGCGAAGCAGCCACGTAGGCTCAGCGCATTTAGGAATAATATATAGCATTGGAAATAATATATAGGGAGGATTTGTAAAGAACTATTTTGATAGCTCTGCCCCTGTGGAGGGCCTATATTCAGATGTGAGACCAACATTTGCCGAAAATACTTCGCTAGTCCAGCCCATTTAGTTAAGAGGTCAATGAATTGTTGATCCAAATGGGCCAACAGTAAACCCATCCGCTGATTAGTTCATTACCTTTTAGGCTCATTTATATGGGAAAATTTTATGTACAAAGTTTTATCAATAATCTATAGTTATATAATAAGCTATCTCATTTACTAAAATTAGTAAGTAGAAAAGTCAAATGACAATTAATGCATGTTATTTCCATTAATATCTATACTTATATTAATGGAAATAACATGCATTAATTACTATGTAGAATAGTTAACTCTAATTAATGATTTGCTATTTTTATCAAGCATTTAATTAATGCATCTAATATTTTTGGTATGCAAATCAAATTAGCATTTAATTAGTTCCTAAAATATTGAGTATCTATGTACTAGTACAACGCCCGTGTATTACACGGATGTTTGTTAATTTTTTCTTTAAAATCTAAAATTATTGAGAAAATGTAGTTGAAAATTTAAATAACTTTTATAAAAATATATATTATTATATATTTAGTATGACACTTTTTATTTGTGTGACTTACTTGTGTTATATTATAATAATTTTTTTAACTTACAACATATAACTACATTAAACAAAAACATATCAACTGAGAAATAATTTTATTTTTGTAATAAAATTTAATAAATATTATTTTTTTATTATTATAAAGGTACATATTATTTATTTATTTTATATATACAATATGGATGTCAAATCGAAGATAATGAAAAGATGATTAATTTGATATATTATATATGTAAAACCGATAAGAAATACAAAAGTTATCAACTTTTAAAATACATTTATAATTCAATAACTAATTGAAGGAAACAAATCAAAAGTCAGGGATATATTAGTCACTTAGTGTCTCACTATGTAAAATTACAAAGAATTAAAGGTTATATTAGTACAAGTGATATTAAAATACCTAAGTTAGTTAAATAGTATTTATGGAATGTCCGAACCTAGATATTAATTATTAATTATTAATATATCAATATTATTTGTCCGAACCTAATTACGAAGCATGATTCTTCGCCAAGTAGGATTCTGAAGCACCAGAAGCAGCCACGTAGGCTCAGCGCATTCGGGAATTATATATAGGGGCGATTTTCTAAAATGTTGGTATGCAATACGTAAAGAAGATTTTTAAAGTTTTTTAAATATAAAATATTGCAATACGTAAAACTATTCCAGTTATTTTTTATTTTATTTTACATATAAAATCTAATCAATATTTAATGCATTCTACAAAATTAGACTTAGTTTAATTCTCCATACAATTGATTATAACTTTTTCAGTTGTACTTTT